TGATCAGTGTTCTTATCGATGTGTTTTGACGGTATTTCATGTTGTTTGTTGTAAGCTGACCCTGGTCTCCCACGGAGATTTGTATGCGTCTTATACAACACACAACATGTGTCTGACGTTGAATAATAACCCCCCCCCCACACACACACACACTAATGACTCACTACACAGCAGTTATACCTTAATCCCTGGTTGTTGCTGTTCACCCAGATCGGCAACCGTGTGCCCATGAACCTCTGCTGAACTAGTCATATTTCTACAAGTGCTTTAGAGGGACAAACTAATAATTATATTTTTCAATATATTAGAAATAAGAATTTAATAAAATGTTTAAACTGCATTTGAACAACAATAAAACATGGCCAAAGTAAAGAAAGGAGTTGTATTTTGAAAAAGTAAAAGCATGCAAATAAATAGCAACACATTACAAAAAATTATGCAGTTTTTGGAAAGCCGCAGTTAACATTAATGTCTTAAGTCCTGGTTTTATGACAGTTTCAGGGGGCCTCAGGTATTTAGGAAGATTGTTCAACACCTGGTATACAGCTCTGAGATGAACTGCGTGTTGAGTTTCAGCTCCTTTTAAGTTGCTGTTGCAATATTAATGTGGGGAGACATATTGTGTAATGTCATGAGATATTTAATTAGCCTTATTATGCCACATAGGAACGTTTACCAAACAACATTTAACAATCATGTTTTTCCGATTGAGCTGAATCTATTGTTGAAACTAGTGGTAACTTATATATTTATAACAGTAACACTTGTTGTTGGTTTATTTCCAAGCTTTAAAATGTTCAAAGGTGCTTGATTTGATTTGTGCAATTTATTCCAAAGATAAAACATCTAACTGACTTTGTTCTGACCTAATAGGCAAACCCTTCCTAAGTGTCAAACATTAGTATAAACCTTCGACTGGCAGTGTGGTTTGATGAGATCTTGATGGATTGGTGCCGTAACCTGAATCGGTACCCATTGAATATTGTTTATTAAATAAAGAATACATCATACCTTATGTACAAACTCCTCCATCTTCTCCATGGCATGGTGGGCCTGAAGTGGTAAGGTCAGGACTTCTTCGACCTCATCATCCTCCTCTTCCTCGTCAGCAAGCATTGTGGCTCCCTTTAATTAAATAACAGGAGAATACTGAAGCAATTGAGCCACAACAACTATTCTATGGGGAACTTTGTGGAACAGCCTTACCTCTGAGTGGACGCCATTCGATGCTGCAGGCCGCCCCCCTCCCTCCTCCAACAGTGGCCCGAGCTCCATCAGCTCCACATCTGGGACATGGCAGTCCTCAGAGATCCGACAGTCTGCATCACTTGCAGACCCGTTTCGGCCTGACATAGGGAGACTGCCTGATGACCCACTCACAGCCTCTGTATTCTGCTTCAGAAGGTGCACTTCAGTTTCCTCCTGAGCAACAACAACCAAAATCAGCTTTACTGGCTACTGTTGACATATAAAAGAAATATACAAGAAGAGATATGAGTCAAGACTATTCAAATAAAAACATGGAGCTAAACATACAAAACTACATAAATATAAGCCAACATAATCACAATTACACACAGGCACAATTAGAATGAATGGCAAAGTAAGTATATGCAAATACAAGGAATTGTATACAGTGTGTTGTGTTCTGAATGTTCACAGAAACAGTTATCAAGGTTCAAGGTTCTTTATTGTCAAACTAACATAGCTACAGAGTAATTATGTCGTTGAAAATCTTATGTCACAGGCTTATACAACTAACTATATATATGTTTGGTATATACAGAATGTGTCCTTAAGTGCATTTAAACAGAACAATTTAACAGGTATTGTATAGATAATACAATATGCATGTACATATAATATAACATGCATGTTATAAATGTGGCCTATACATAATTGGCCCATAATTAAGAAATATCCATCCATCCGTCAACCTTTTTGAAATTGTACCAAGCTGCAGAGAAGGGATTTCACCATCAGTTGTAAGTAAGGGAACAAATAGTATTTTTATAGGCCAATCTATAGCCTATAAATGCTTATCAGTAAGAATATACGGTCTGACCTGTATTAGCCTATGTTTTCAAGAAAGTAAAGTTTAGGGGTTTGGGTCGTGCGAGTTTACAATCCCTTCTTTGGAAGGCAATATAGCATAGCAATCCAAATGTTTGTGCTTATCTTATCTTATTTTGTTATTGCAAGATTAATCTTATATCATGGCTTATGTATTGGCCTCGGCCTCAATAAACGGGTCGGTCCGGAAATCACTTATTGGAGCATTACTAAATGAGTCTGTATACAGTGAGGGGTCTGTGAGCATATATTGATGCATTTCAGTACAGCACATACAGTCTGCATAGCCCTACATACAACACTGACACGGTGTTACGTACTCACGATGTTGTTTTATGTAAATGACAAAGTATTATAAAGCAGTACGGTTATTTAGTATTATAGCATACTGCAGATCCCTAACTTACATAAACATGTATCTAAATCCTGAAATAAAATGGCTGATATTTAATCTGGGTCGCATGTGAAATCCGTGTTACATCGATCAGACAACTGCAGAACAAAGGACCGGATGAACTTATTCAGATCAATGTCAACGGGAACACATTTCGCTCGACAGACGTAATAGTGACAATACTGCAGATATAATACAGAAAACTGACATTTGATACACGGCAGACAACAGAAACAAAGCGTTTAGCAGAGCCTGGCAGACGGCTGGTGATTAGCGGCGTCAGACGGAAAATGGAGTACAAAATGTAAACAACCGCAACACACCGACCAACATACGTGGATCCATTATAATTATACGGTTGTGAACACTTTAAAGCATGGAGCGGAACGACATTTTAATAAACCACCTGATACGCGAATAAGGTATCAGATCATGGGTCGCTTATATCGTGTTGCTAACGTTACCTTTAAGCTAGCGCCGAGCGGATGCTAACCAGTCGAGCAGGCGACACTGGTTTGAGAATAAACGTGAACCAGCGGCGAAGTAAAAGTCCTCACGACGACACAACATATACCCTGATCTACATAGACTACTGTACTAACATCCGTTATTGCAATTGAATTAAATGTACACAAGTTACCTGACAAGGTAATGTTCAAACCAGGAAGGTGAATTATTTATCGATATGCGAAAACACAATCCTTTCCGGAAGTTGAGAGCTCTTCCGTAAAACCAACCGCAGCCCTCTCCGGTTGTTTCCAAAATAAAAGCCCCGAAGAAGAAGTAGAAAAACCAGAAAAACTAATATGTTTTCATACTTTGCAAATCAGTCACTTTAGTTGATGCATTTACAAAATGTAAACAAGGACATAATGTTAAAAATATATCTTTATTATATCAAATGCATTTAGAAGGATATTATAATCAGCAGAGAGGGGGATGTAGCCTGTGTTCTTCCATTTTTTATATTCATGCACTTTTAATTATATTAAAGTATAAGTATAAAGTATTTAAAAAAGAAGTGATAAACTATGCCAACATTCACTGATTAATACATAATAATAATAATTATGAGAGCATGTATTTTTAAATCGTGCTTACAAATTATATATATATATATATATATGTTTCCCTCCATGACACCTTCTGGGCTCTGTGGATGATAAAGGAATTAATAAAGACATTACATTTAACTTGTTAGACGCTTTTATCCAAAGCGACATACATACATTCAGTGTGGGCAATCCCCACAGGAGCAATTTGGGTGCCCAGGGACACAACGACATGCTGACTGCAGTGGGACTCGAACTTGCTACCCCCTGATTCGAAGGTCAGCGCACTATCCACTGAGCCACAGCCTCCCCTATATTCAAATGAGCAACAGGTCTGCAGTGATGTACACACATGTTACATTACATGTCATTTGTTAGATGCTTTTTTTCTTTATCCAAAGCGACTTACATACATTCAGTACTGTGGACAATCCCCACAGGAGCAATTTGGGGTGAAGTGTTTTGCCCAGGGACACAACGACATGCTGACTGCAGTGGGACACGAACTTGCTATCCCCTGATTCGAAGTCCAGCACACTATCCACTGAGCCACAGCCTCCTATATATAAGTTACATGTTATTGGTCTTATTCTACTGCCATTGTGTGCTCTTCCCAGGGCACAGATGCAGGCTCCTGTTTGCAAGCAATACATAATTCTTATGAATATGAGAAAACGACAGATATTGTTTAGATATTTCTTTTCTTTTCACCAAACGCAAGGCAAGTTTAGTTTGAGATGGAAATATCTAACTGCTTAATCAATTAGATATACAAAAATGCAAAATGCAGCTTTTCTGTATTATTAAAGTGTATGCTTTCACTGACACTTTTTTTTAAAGACATACACTTGGACATTGAGAAAGTGGGATGAAGATTAGTTTGACTATTTCTCTATTTTCATAGGCAATACTTAACAGAGAAAATATTGGACAGACTAATACATCATTTAAATAATTGCTATTTAAGCTTGAATAAATACTTACCACTCTCAGGTTTGCACACATTTGGACCAGGTGGATATGCCAACATTGGAGCTGAGAATGAAAAATAGTCCCTATACACAGTGAAGGAAATAAGTATTTGAACCCTTGTAGATTTTGTAAGTTTACCGACTTACAAAGAAATTAACCGTCTCATTAGTTATTTTACTAATGAGAGACAGAATATCAAAAATATTATCCAGAAATGTACATCATATAAGAGATATAAATTGATTTGCATTTAATTGTTGGAAATAAGTATTTGAGCCCCTTGCAACCAACAAGGATTCTGGCTCCCACAGACCGGTTACATAAGTCCTCTTCCTTAAGAAAGTACTCATAATATAAGAAAAAGGTTTTTATTAGTAAGAATATTAGCACAAAATATAATTTAGTATTCACAAATCTTTCTTATTTACACCTGTGCTTTTCTAATATGACATGTCAACATTTCTACTTTGGAAAAAGCAAGATAAAAGAGGAAATGATTCTCAACACTATGCAAATATTATTCTTTATTTTCTTCCACAGGGTAAACACTTCACAGATTTATCATCAGCAACATAACACATTATTATTAGTTTCACTTAAACTACTTTAACTGATAAATTAAAAAGAAATACAGTAAAAAAGAGGCACACAAGGGTACATGATTGTGTTCTGTTTTTTTCTATATACATCTCAAAACAGTCTTTACTGCTGCTGTATTTTGCAAACTCAGGTCCAAGTCTTTTTCTATTTCAAGTCTGACTTTCCATAAGTCAAATGGTGCACATCACAATAAATAAACACATACATAGATCACTGTGAGGGACCGGTCAGTGTGAAGCTGTAGTTGAATTTGCAGAAGGTTGCTTTCATTTGAACCGTTGAAAGCGTGTTTGATCGTGAGACATGATTGTGAATCACACATTGTCAGTGGTTTGAGAGCAGATCTAATACAGACACTGACAAATATCTGTTAAAGTTTGGGATATTTCAATTTGATTTGAACACTTTAATAGCTGCCAAACATCAAGACTCTGCTTTTGTTAAATTTGCTGCCTTTCAGCTCATGTGAGTAAATTAATATTTAGTTTCAACTACTTTATTAAGTCTATAAGTAATTCAAGTTAACTGGCAGATCCACAGACACAATAAGTAGAAAAAGAAGACGCATTTTCCTCTAAAAGTACATGATTATGAAGAAACAACTGGGATCTTAAAATGTAAGCAGCTCAAGTTCATTAACATGATGAAAAAAGAAAATCATGGAACATTAAACACAAAATGTAGCTAAAAAGGACATGTTACTGATTTACATTATTTTACAATTCATTGATTTCATTCGAACAGCTAGAAATTGAGCACCCCATCTACCACACAGCAAAAAGTAAACTTCTCTGTCTTGAACACTTCCTCAATTGAAGTTGTATCATTTCGCTACAGATTGCAACATCTAATGCAGCACTCTGTTGTATAACTAAGTAGTTATAGACATGTACATGATTAATTGATGTTAGTTCTTGTGAGATTACCTTCAACAGGGACCTTAATGTAACTAGTTAAATGTAAAATGTTACTTTTTAAAAACATAAATGTTTCACAATCTGGCAACAATGTTAAATTGTGTTGGGCATTTCCCTGTTCGAGCTTCCAAACTATTGGCTGACGATTTCCGTTTCGTTATGTCATATCATAGTCAATTCGCATATCAAAATAACCCTGTATTTAAAGAAGCAGAAACTCTGTGGTTTTGTTTGATAAACTTAAATATGAGTTTTGAACTGTGGCAGGTTCAAACAGCTCTCAGTAACATTTAACAAGCATTGAATTCATATAGAGTGGACAAAAACAATGGGCACATTTTACAAGCAACCGGGGTTATCTTTACAGTCACTTTAGTAGCCATATTATTTTTGTATCAGATTGTAGTGTAAGATGCATTCGTTATTATCCCTTAATGCAGGCAGAAAGATAAACAAGAATCATGAAAAAAAAAAAAATGTTTAGGGACTTAAAAAGTAAATTTGACTTGATTTTCTTAAGACTCCACTTTGGTTATTTGGTAATAAATGCAGTCGCCTCTCAGTTTGCGGTCCAAGGTGTCCTTGGTTTAAACTTGACTCATAAAGTGAGAACCGTCATCTACCACCCAGCGAGTCTCCTCTCTCTGAAGAGCCCTTCTCTGGATAACCTGAGTTAGCAACAACAACAATAGAAACAATATAAGTAAATTATTGAAACAATGTTATTTTACAACATGAGTTCACCCACAGGTTTCTGATCAAACAGGCACATTTACCAAAATGCCTCTTAAGCCGGAATTTCTTATCGTAGTGATTAGGTGAATAAAAACTATTTCCTGTCATGAAGAACTTATTAAATTATTCATTATTTGGTACTACTACTTGTTTCAGTATGTCTGTTTCTATGTTGACAGATTGTAAGATGTGTGTCAACATATTTGTGTCTGTTTACCTGCTCATGGTACTTCTGGTTTTGGTGAAAGGCGGTCTCCCGAGCAGAAATGTTTTTAACTCTGACGGCCCCCTGTCTGTCCAGAGAGCAGGACCTGGGGGACTTCAGCTGACTGCGGTGGTGCCACGAGGTCAGCTGCTCGTTCACTACTTGTTTTGGAAGGCCATTGGAGCGGTACTGCGGATGCTCCCACTGAGCCGGGGAGGGGGAGAGTCTGATATCAGGAGGTAGAGGCCTCTGTGCTCTCTGGTGGAGCACAGCAGGGTCTTTATAGTAATACTCATATCTGTTGGGAGCACAGGGAGCCCGCTGGGTGTAATAGCCCCGTGCCAAGTCCAGTTCAGGTCGGTAGGCTGTTTCTTCAGTGTAATAGGCTTTAGGAAACCCGGGGCTGGACTGTTGCCGGGGGTTATGGTAAAAGCCAGTGCTCGGGAAGCCTTGAGGGCCACAGCTGCCCCCGGGGCCAGAGTGCACGAATGCAGACTGATACTGTTTGGGTGAATCACAGGGCAGCTCCTGACACGGTGAGCTGTTGTAAGATGAAAACGAGTGTTCAGAGTTGCTATCCTCAGAGTTGACATAGTTTGCGTAGTTCACAGCAGGAAGAGGAGCATCCGGTAAAGTTATTGCAAATTCTGTCAGTCGCCTCCTTGCACTTCTGGTGCGACCTCGCTCCCTTTCAAATGGAGACTCAGGGTTGGGTATTCTGTGAAAGGAGCAAGTGCATTAATATGGCTACCCAGGAAAACTTTTTTTTTCAAAAATGCACATCTCACAGTCACTGTTTAAAATAATAATAAATGTAATGTGCAAAACAAGGTAAATAATAACATTTGCAGTAAATCACAGCTTTAGCTTAGGCAGTGGTGGATAGTGGGCATTACATAAGTAGAGTCATTTCTTTCTTTTTTTTTTTTAAATTGTACTTCTAAGAGGTAGTTGTTTTGCAGAATACTTTGTACCCTTACTTAAAGTGGACCTATCATGCTATATTTGAATAATTAGTAACAAAATGTTTCTACTTCTACGTTATAACATTGGGCTACACACTTCTTGCTACTTTTACCATCCAGCTAAACTCACACGCACGACAGGGATTGTCCAACAGCAAGAGACAAAAGCAGCCCACACAAAAACACACCCAAAAACGGTGTCCAAGCTTTGTTATTACCTGTTGGAACAAGTCTGATCGTATAATTGATGTAATAAATTGCATGTAATGACGTTACTCAATACGTGAGCAGTTTTTTTACCAGATACTTTTTTATACTTACTTAAGTAGAGTACTTCTTCTATCCGAGTCAATACAATTATTATAGTTACAGTCATTTTACCATTTTAGTTTTTAGTTTACAGCCAGCACTGAATATAGTTGCGCTGCAGACATACAGTACTGTGGAGGTGAATGAGGGGGGGGGGGGGGGGGGGGGGGGGGGGGGGGGGCTACCTGAGGGAGAGCTGTCTGTGGACTCTCATCTCTGGTGTGGAGGGCGTGCTGTTGGACTGGCTGTGGCCCAGCTTCAGGTGGGAAGCAAAAACAGCCTCCAGTGGGGGTAACAACTCCGTTTTGAATGAACTGTTGAACGCACAAGAAACACATTATATTAAGTTTCTTTGTTTATCAAAAAATATTTTTCATAATGACATCAACATCAGAAATCCCAAAGATAAAGAAAAGAAAGCTAATGGATGAAGTGGAGTCTTGTAGTATTACAGCTGTTCTGCCTCAGCCGTAGAAGGACTACAGTTATCTATTACCCTGACAAAGAAGAATACAATTATCATAATATGGAGTTTTTAATACAGGAATTTACTAGTGGACAATAAAGCCTTGGTTCTTCCTCTTTGTCAATGTGTCATTTTGAAACCGGATGTACAGAAATGAGTTTCTCTCTTTGGCTGCTTTTGCACCAGAGCAAAAGCAGATGGCAGTGTTGCTCATATATGAACCACTGTCATTTACTCTGCTATAAAAGAACAAATGAGTTTGCACAAGATATTCAATTTCTAAATCAGCTTTCTCCCAGCATTGTTGAAAAGAAAAGACAAGTGTATTCTTGCTGCTGGATATTGTCCTCATGAACGAACACTAGCAACAAGGGAGTCACCAATCAGGGTGCCCTCATAGCCTTGAGGTTAGGCGTGGGCGAAATTAAACACTTACATCCTGATTATTCGGGCCATTGTAATTGCACTTCAAGTTATTATCTTTAATCCAGATAATCATCAACCTTTTTCTAAAGAAACAGATATTTTCATTGCTTCAAATGTAGTACACATCTTTTTGAGTGAATAATCTGTCGCTTTTAAATCAGGTTCACAATCATACATTATAAGATTCCACTGTATTAATAAATAAACAAACAAACTGTATTTTTCAACTTTACGACAATGACAGAGAGCTAGGGAGCTTTTTTATGCCCCATATTCACAAATATATCTATAATGGAAATTCACCACAATGAATTTATTGTGAATGTTTTTTGTTTACTGGATTAGCAATATAATCCTATATCAGCCCATCCCTGTTTGAGGTATAACAGACTTCTTCAGTTGATGCACAATGATTTGTTTCTTTTTCATTTTCATCAACTTCGGTTTTTCCCTAGAGTTTCCAAAGAATCCAACCAAAGTCGCCTCCCTCACAAGCTTGCTAATGCAACTAGTAACCACAACATCTGCATTTCACACAGTTTACCAAGTAAAACAAACCACACTTTGCTTTCCCCAATTCTAAAAAGTTGATAAACAGGAATGGAGTCATGATGGATGGTTGGTGTTACCTCGACTTGTTGGAGGAGCGCGACTTCCTGTTCTTCTGGTAAGGTTGGTCCAGACTAGACTCTGTCCACGGGGAGTGTTGGATGGGAGGAAGGTCACTTGCAGGGCTTGAGCTGAAACTGGGCGTAGACGTGAGGCTGGGATGGGGAGACTGGCTTGGAGTCTGCGGCAGGTTTTGTGGAGCCGCAGATGGAGACATGTAGGAGCTTTTTGAGAAGGATTGTGAGGACACAGAGGGAAGCCGGGGCGGGTCTGTCTCTCCTGGATCAGGGAGTCCTGAAGACAGCTGTGATGACTGACTTGTCACTTCTAGGAAGAAACAAAGAAAATATGTAGTGTATTATAGCTGCAGAAAACTATTAAGTGTTAATACAAATATATTTCCTTCATAGATTCTTTATGTATGCTTTGAAAAACATATTTTATTAAGATGCACCATGAGGACCGCAGTATTTTAGAAAATGTTTAGTGGACTCTGCTCACAATTGTATGTTTTATAGGTAATGGATAAGTAGTGACTACCAGCTTTTAAACCACAAAAAAGTTAGTTTTGTTCTAATTCTCATTGACAGATTTTAAAATGCTGTTTTCAGACTTCTAAATATAGAGATTTCCTGCTACCCTGTTTTATTTCATTCTAAACTGAACATGACTGGGGTTTGGACAGACAAAACAAGAAATTAAAAAACATTCTATTGGACTTAAAAAAACGGGATGGACTTCTTTTTTTACAATATTCGAACATTCTAAAATACGGAAACAACCGATTGATTAATCTAAAAGATCTAAGATTCATCAAAAGTTTAAATAATTGTTAGTTGCAGCACTAAAAGTAAATCTTACCTTCATCTTGCACCACAGAATCAGACAGAGAGCTGTCATCAGATGTACCCAGATCTGAAAAACAGAAATAAATGCATTGATTCACATGTGAAAATAATACATTTCTACAAATCTATCAAAATCCAGAGCTCTTTAAATCATTCATATTCAAATAACTCCCTGCTTAGGTGTAGTGAAATTGATTTTTACAGAAAACTATCTTTTAGTCTGGCCGGCGGCTCTCACCGTGTTGTGCAATATTAAAAGCAGGAAGTGGTGATGAACGGCCGTGCTCCAGGCGAAGCTGAAAGGCCGTCTCTTGCAGGCGTTTGAGTTTTTTCTCTTCTCTCTTGCACTGCTGTAAGCGGCTCTTCTTAACAGCCTTACTCGGGTGAACCTCCTCGCAGAGCTTGCGCACTGCCTCGTATATCTTCATCTGAAGCGCCAACTCAGCATCAACAAAACTCAGTTCTGACTCCTGTGAAATGAGGGAATGACGAGAGAGAGACAACAAGTGTGAATTGAACAATTGAACATTGTATGTCCTTGATGTTTACGTATTCTTTGAAATGACATTATTTAGTATTGCGTTTTATAAATGCTGATTTTACCTCTGCTCCTCGAGGGAAGCTTTGTTCATCAAATTTGAACGCAGCTCCAATACGTCTGCGGATCTGCGGAGGCTTCTCTCCTGGCAGCAGAGGGTAATCATCTGACAGCCGGCCTGTCAACTCCTAAACCACACAAAAAATATTACAAATCCAAATGTCCACAAAGATGCATTTGAATAAAACGAAAACTGGAATGATGACAGATCGTCTGGCTTGGTTTATCAAAATAAAGACATATTTTTAAAAATGCTATTAAATCCTTTCAGTTGAGTTGTCCAAATAAAGTATAATTATCAATAAGTGTTTTTAATGATGCTAATCAATGCTTTTTATCCTTTCGGTTGAGTTGTTTAAATAAAGATAAACCATCTCTTGAGAGTCCATTGAACCATGTCTTTGGCACTTTTGAAACGATGTATCACATTCAGTTCTCTTTACATGTTGAGGCACATATAGTTTCAAGGAATCTGTTGCACAATTCAGCATTTGCAGAGATTTCCTTTCACAACACATTCTTCAGGTCTCACTTTCTCACTGTATCGAATGTCTGTGCCCAACCAACCACAGAGCACGACATCGCACCATTACTGATTTCATTAACGAAGAGTCACAGAAATGGTTACTTTGAGTCACTCCTAACCAGCCACTTTTGCAGACAGACAAACACGTAAGCCTGTTCTTTTGTCACTAAAAGAAGGGAGAGGCATCATGGCTCCCATTAGTTCACCTGAGCATGTCCCGACAGGAGTGCCCAGCCCGAGTGTCAACAGGAAAGAATGATCTGTTCTGGGATTTTACCCCACAGCACTGACATATGGCAGAGAAACTTTCAAAGGAATATGTGTCCCGTTTCGAAATGACTGGATGTGGCAATTTATATTCTTATTTGGATATTTTCCAATGCAGAAGCAGAAAGAGAAAGAGAAGCAGAAATATTGAAAATGGAGAGGTGACGAGAGCAATATTTCATGCTGGATTTAAATCCAAGCTGTCATGAGAACATTGAAATAGCTTTGGCCAACTTAACCACCAGAATACCTCTTCAAAGGCTGTGATACATTTAAAAAAATCTCACTGCAGCCGCATGGCATTGTCTGAAAGGAAAAGGATGATGTTTGCATTCTGCTCAGTGGTAAGAGCCAGAGTAATAATGTCATAAAGGAGGACGGATAAAAAGACCTTGTGTTCCCTCTCAGTAGACCATGACTGTGACATTTGGAAGCTGAGGCAGACACATTTAAAAGATGTATCAAATTGTCGGACATCAAAGTCAGTGTTTTTAAACCACTAACATTTTGGCTTGAAAAGAACAAGACCTTATAGCATCAGAAGTGTGGACACAAAACTTTCTGACCCAAACAGCATATCTAATAGATCCACATTAGTGTGGACAGGGCTGAACACATCTCAGAAATGTCCTCTCTTGCAGGTTACTTTGTTCACCTGCAATAAAATGCGTCATCTAACATCCTGCACTAAAACTACCCCACCTACTAAATCCTTCATTAAAAAGGGCCGCTTGCCTCATTACGTAACAATTGTCTTGAGTTTGAATTAGACTAGCTGTACTAGAAATCTTTTTAAACCAAATTGAATAAGCTTAGAAGTTCAGGGTTATACGAGACATTTATTCTGCGACATGTTTTTAACATAGTTCTTTCTGCAGCCTCATTAGTTTTGAAACAGTTTAAATCTTCTGATGTTAGGGGTAGGAATCACCAGAGGCCCCACAGTACAATATAATCACAATATTATAGCAATCTGTTTTCTCCAATAGAATAAAAGATTTTACCAGTTTCTTCCAATCCCGCGGACTTATTCAGATATACAGTATAAGCTGTATAAAAAATCTCTCCCCCACCCCCAGTTCATTTGCCGATAACTTGTACTTACAGCTTCTCGGATGCAGACTTTCTTCAGCTCCAGTAGGCAGATCTCCAGTCGTTCTTGGAGAGCCTGGTGTTTGAGCTTCATGGCCCGTGTATGCGTGGTCACATCCTTCATGTGTGTCATTGGGCTGTCAGAGCCTGTGAAATGAAGAAAGCGCTTTTATATATCTCAGATAATGAGACTGTTACACATTTTGTTAGAGCCATTTTCCTTTCATCATTATGGTTTGAATGTTTGGCTTAATAATATAAGGATTTAGAATAAACTTTTAACTATTTATTTTTGTGAGTCACACTACGCTTTAAAATATGTTAATTTAACGCTCACTTATTTGCTGTCAAATGTGCGCTGTCAGGTATGACGTGCGTGTCTATATGCCTATATATGGCATGACAATGGAACACAGCTCAGTGTGTGATTGGACGGGAAGCGGTATTAGTCTTTTGACCGTGTTCTTTTTGTTCTATTTTTGATACAGAGAACTTTTAGTTACTTTGAAGCGAGGAAGTTTGTCTTCATGTTTCTATGCCACCTTGATCAAAGAATAAATCTGATGTGATTCAACGCTACAACGATCTCCGCAAAGTTTGTTTGGAAGCAAAGAGAGGCGCGTCATAACCAACAACCCCGATAGAGAAAAGTGGCTATTGAATGTAGAAACGGATTAAAACGCCATGACATATTTGTTATGCAATACAAAGCAAAGCCAAAACACAAAATGTGTGAGAACAAATTAGTTTTTTTTAACCACAACGAAATTAAAAGGAAGAAATGTGCAGTGGAAAAGGAACATAATAAATCTATTTAAAAATCACGAGCTGAGTGATATCTCAGCTACAAGAGCATTTGTTAATGTATCAGTCATCTGTTCCATTTTATTTGTCATGTATAGCAATACAATTCCTTAAAAGTTAAAAGATTAAGTCATAAAATGTTGATTTAATTTCCAATATTCCACATCTTTCATGTTCATATACTGTTGCCTGTTCTATTTTAATGCATCTATATACTTGACTTGTTTTCTGTTGCCTTGTAAGTATTCTGGCCTGCTTGTAGTATGCTACCATCAATGTTATTTTACAGCTTCAAATTAAATCTGGATGCCACAGACGACACCATGGTTTCATTCAACAGAACGTAACTTTTGTTATTGTCGTTGTTTTCTTTATTGGCATGTAGAATGGCAGGCTGGATCTTTGTAACTACAAACAACGCCTGAGTGTTCGACTGGTGCTGTCTGTAGCCTCGGTGACTAATGACATTAAGATTAGTTTCAGGGCTGTGGGAGTGGCTTCAGTCCAAAGGCATTGAGTGCTGCATACCTACAGAGATTATTAACAGGATCCCTGCAGGTACTGACAAACATCAGAGCTGCGACAGGAAAGAAGTGACAGCACTACAATAGGGCAAAGAATTTCTCTTCCTAGAGTGACAATCCCCCCATTCTTCGTAGGTTGACCCTTTTTCATTGTATAGGGTAGACATCACATGGCTCAATTAAGCCGCAAGGAATGTCAGAGAGGCCATTACTAATCGTCGGTAGACACTGCTGGGCGTAGCAAAAACAAGACTGTCAAAGTTTGCTGTTAATTATTTGTTATTGTTACCTTATAGGACTGAGGAAACTATTTGGATGACCATATTGGGTGACTTCCTTATTGACTGCTGCAACCCAAAAATACGATTTAACTTTGGAAATACAAAGAGCAACACCTTGAGCTGCACCTGTTAAATCGATTTGTCCTGTAACTTTCCAAAAAGCAAAGATATTCAATTTAATGAGAATAAAACAAAAACCAAAAAGGTCTCATGATTGAGAAGCTGGAGCTAGAGAATTTTTGTCATTTTTGCTTGAAATAAATGAGGGAGTTGTGTGAAATCTGATTTGAGGCAGCTTCAGTTGGGTGTGAAGAATGAAACATCTGTAACCTGCTCTTCACTTCTGCTGGAGGCTAGCAGCTCCAGGCTACATTTACTCAAGTTGCACAGTGGGCAATCTAGGCTTCAGGTTTTTCAAAAATAAAGAAGAATGGATAGAATAAAAAATAAGATTTGTTTCAAATAAATGATCCATATATATAGACAATGTAACAGGGCCATTTTTTTATTTGAAGTTTAATGTGGATCACTTACGATGCGTCCTTCTTGTTGTGCAGAAACTAATCTGATATAAACTCACAATGTACCGCATGCGTTTTAGTGCCTGCTCGAGTTTTCACATGACAACTTGTTTTCTTGAACAACATAGATGCACTTGTTTTTAAACTTGCTGGAATTACCCCAAATACACATCTGCTGTTTGCTAAAGTGTGGAGTTGATTCAAGAATATTTATTAATTTGATTGAATTCAAAAGTGAGTCTTCTACCAAGAAAACCATAGCGTTAGTTGTTAACTCCTTGAAATCTGCTATGTGTTATTCTCTGAAAGGATGTCATGTTGCTTAATATTTGGTGAAGCACAAGAGTGACGTATCCAATAATGACCTAGCAATAAAAAAGGCGACCTGGTGTGTCGGTAGAAGATTTATGTTACTAACGAGTCTCAATTTAACAGCAGGGAAGTAGAGCATACAAAGTTTGAAGTAAAGTGTTTATTTGGCAGAAAGCTATCAGCATGAAAATTATTTGAAATGTTTCATGTATCTTTAGGTCATTTAAAAGCAGGTGCAGCGATAAGATTACCAAGGGCTGAACTAAGGTGTGTCTTAGTTTCTACATTTGTTTGCCTCTAGCAAAGGGTCTACTGGCTGAAAGAGATTGATTCATTGCTTTATAAATCAATTTGTAATTTAAATCAATCAAGTCTTTCACCATTTTGACAGTATACATTACATGTTACTTGTTAGACATTACATGTTACTTGTTAGACGCTTTTATCCAAAGCGACTTACATACTCAATACTGTGGGCAATCCCCACTGGAGCAATTTGGGGTGAAGTGTCTCAGGGACACAACGACATGCTGACTGCAGTGGGGTTTGAACCTGTGACCACCTGATCCCAACACCAACGCTCTAATCCACTGCGTCCCAATATAGTATACCTTTCACGATTGAATAGTCTAAAAAACTGCATAACGTGTATTTGTTCATTTACTGAAAAGATGTTTGTGATTTAGACTTTTGTGTTAATGTGTGATTCCCAATTACAACAAAGAAAAGACAAGATGTTTTACCTGAGTGAAGGATGATGCCGCTGTCAGTGTCACTGATCTCTCCGTTGCCCTCCATGTCAGTGGATCCACTTACTGTTGCTATTCTTCACTGGGTAGTGTCGACCCTCACCATTTCCTGGGAAGTAATATTTCAGCTTTAGCATCCATCACAATTTTCAACGTTTTAGGTGTAACTTACATTTAATAAAAAATAGGGATAATTTGTGTCAGTGTTCAAACATTAGAACGGCTGTTTGGTGTAATAAAAGGCAAATTCTCTTAGAAAAATCTGAACTTTGACTGAACAAACAACGTGTAACATTTCACATTGTATTTCTGCAATTTCATGAAGGTTTTATTGTCTTTTGTAAAAATCAAAAGATAAAATCAGAACACATTTAAACTGTGACAATTCAACCAAGAAATCAGCGCAGTGTTTAAGCCTGCAACCTCTGGGAGACCATAAGGGGAAAATACAACTGATTATATAAAATAAAATGACTACAAGCAATTAGGCTACAAGCACTAGATGAGTCAAACCCATGTCTAAGCCAAACAGCCTTAACAGAGGCTTTCCAAAGACTCATTACTTAATACTATGACCTGTTGATTGAGTGATTCAGGTGTGACTGGCCTTCTTGACCCTACAGTCAGGTGTAGTCATAGTCTCCCACAGCATGAGTACACACGCATGTTGCCAAGTTTAGGCAGTTTCGTGCGACTGCCTGTTTGTTAGTCTGTGATGTCATATGATCGCACTCCCTTAGATAAGACTCAGGACGTATGAGCCATAAATTCGGCTGGTGTCAACAAAAAAAACCTATGAAACTTGTGGGTTTGATTATTAACTAAGAAAATATATGGTGGGTGCATACCAACACACAGGGGAGGTTTGTCACAGCTTGGGGGCGGTAAGCTTCCCAGCAGGCATTGAGTTGTGGAAGGAATAGATATGGTGAAGTCATGACAACATGCAAGAGTTATTTCTAATATATTTTATGTCCATCCTCAAGGTGACGTTCAGCAATCCATAGAATATGTATCCCCTTATAATCCTATACATGACATAAACATGAGACAGCCTCTAAACAGCTCACATGACTGTGACTAGAGTCTTCGCTCCTCCAAAGAACCAACAAGTGGCTGCTGTGTTCGCTGAATTAAGGCGGAACAGCTTAAAACAGGACACTTAAATCACAACACGACCTACAGCGCTGTTTCAAAAATAGATGTAAACATGCTAATTTTAGCCGAAATGTTCTCTACAATATACAAGATTGCAAACAATGAATATATACATAACTACTTGCAGCAGTTTGAAACCCGGAAAAACTAATAGTTAGAGAAATAAACCCACGAGGGATGAAACTACTGATCTTTTTCCCCATGGTAGATTATTTTCTCACCTACAGTCCAAATTCTGACGATTGACATTTTTGCTTGATTTCAATTATCAAGATACCTTTAAGGGTTTTTCAGTCATGAAGGAGATTGAATTTACCCATCAATTAAGTAATTGTTTCCAATAAAAGACAAAAAGACGTTAAAATCTGGGGACGTCCAGTCATCTGTCTTTAAAGGGAGACATTCCCTGAAACACCGTCAGAATCTCATCCCACAATCGCATAAAGAAGGAACCAAAACTACTGAAGCACTTTGATGCTCTGTAGATATGCAGTATCTAGCCGTCAAATATACAATATGATGAAATGTTGATATAGAGAGCAATCTGTTACATTTTTCAATTCAAATGATTTGCTGGACATATCCTGTTGTTTGCTATTGCCGAACTCAAGTACAAACGTAGCATTTATTTGATAAAGATTTAGGAGAAAGAAAAACACACACTTACAAACAGGTAAGGAGTTGTCCCTACCCTGAAGGTCCTAAAACTCGTACTGAACTACAAAACTCTAGCTGAAGGCAATGTTCCTCATTATTTTAAGTCAAGTGTCAGTGTACGTTTTAAAGAAAAAACAATTACAACATACTGAAAGCATCAATGTCACACATAGAAATATCAACTCCACAATAGTTAGGAGGAGAAGGACAGCTATGTCACATTAATCAAAATAACAGCCCCAAGAGGACAATAGAGGAATTCAGTACAGGAAAATTGGACAACATATTAAAAATCCACTTACTTTATGAAAAACTTTTTTAAAAAACTGTCAAAATCCAAAGAGTGAAAACCTTCCCTCAGTATTCCCGACTTGAATGGAAATGCAGAAAACCTGAGCTGAGTGGAGTCCGGTCAGGAATGAGACTCGCCCACTAAGAAAGCGCTGCCTGCTGAAGAGGAGTGGCCACATACAGAGGGCTGAACACTTGAGTCAGTATCATATAACTTAGTCAGTGCTCCCGTCTCAGCTTGAAACTGTGTCAAGAACAATGACAGAGATAAAGAGAAATTACACTTTGCTTTACCCTCTTATCAGCGTCTAATGAAGGTGGTGCAACCTGACATGTGTCCCAGTACAAAAGCACCATTACTAAACAAAAGTAGACGGGACATCAAAGGGCTCAAGATAAAATAAATCTACCAACAACACTCAACAAGCACTTAAGTAAAGTATCAGTTTAAGAGCTGAAGTGATTTGTCAATTAATTAATTAGTTGATTTTCAACAAAAGAACAACTTTTGTGATTTTTCAGCAAAAATGCCAAAACACTAGCTGGTTTCAGCTTCTCTTTATGATGGATGATAGAACATTTGGTTGTAAACTTCACCTTCCAAGTGTTTTGTATTTGACAGATTAATGAATACAAATATTCATAGGTTTGCAGCCTTAGTCAGTTTATCCTCATGATGTTCGTAAACACATGCTGTCAAACGGCTTGTTTAACTGTTTTAACTCCGTTAATCTCTGGGTTCAGGTTTGTTGGACTACATGCATGCGTCTACAGCCAGATATCACACTTTCATCACCGGCAAAAGGTGGCTTTATGACTTGATAATTAACTGTTGATGACTCTTGACCTCGTCTCTTTTTTTCAGAATAAACTACAGTTCAGCTCTGCTTGTACAAAAAATATCTGGTCAGTGCATTTCTACTGCCATCTCCTGGAAGTTTAAAGGGGTCAGTAAAAATGGATAACAAATTATGAATTTACAAATTTACTAGCTCATATTTGCAAATAGCTTTCAAACCTTCACCACTCATCTTCTTATTTCCAGGCTACCAATACAGAAGCCCTTTTGTGGCCTGACATTTTTGCCGTCACTTAAAAAAGAGGGAAACACATGGTGGTGGGATAGTCCGCATGATTTACAGAGACACCTGCTCGCTTTCTGCATGGCTGACATTCATCTGAATCTCAATATTCATTTTGGCTTTCCAGGAATGTTGGTGCTCAGACCCGCTGAGAAAAGGTCCAGCAATTCCCAGACACTGAAGAATCAGTTCTCAAATGACATGGCACCGGGGAAAGCAGAACATATTTGGTTTGGTAACTTCTACATTTAGGTTTCATAGTGTGAACTCAAGCAGGGGGAATTCACACATGCCTTCACGTTTGCTTTGACAATGTAGTGAAATATTAGACTGGCCTATCACAGATCAATGACAAGTTGACAACATTTTTGTAGGCACCAGGAGCTTATAACTAAATACCAGCTATAGCGCATTTGTTCTAGAAAGCTTTGACTCTAGATCGGCCAGGTTGGATTTATATATATTAAATGAAATCGAATTACAAAAATGAACAGTGAAACCATTGTATAGTTTCTCCATCAAGAGAAGGGAAAATGAGAGATGAACTGAATGCAGTTGATCACCAGTTCTCTATAAAACTATAATCGACAGCATACATTTAAATGTTCTTTCATGGAATTAAAATGACTCTGTATGTTGATAATAAAACTTTAACTCGTAAATAACTTTAATACCAATAACTGCGCCTGGTTAAACCCACCTTCTTTTTGTCAAAATCTTGTTTTCAAGGTTCCTCCATAGTTTCTTTGTATTTATTCTTTTAAATTGTGAATGCTGCAAATGGCAAGCTTAATTCCTTCTTCACTCATGCTGAAAAACGTCCACATTAACATGTATAACTTGTGTGTGTGGCTGTGACGTGTCTGTCTCTTCCATTTTGTAGACATAAAACCATCATGTGGCACATTTGTGTAAATCCGAACCGCAAAAATCCGGGTCACCACCCTTCAGTTACGAACGTTGGCCTATAGATTATTATTGAAAATGTTAATCTTCAACTGTTAATGTCCTGCCCAGTGCATTTCTTGGTTCAACGATCATGAAAGTATAATTGCTACAAACTACCAGCGCCTGTATGGTTAATATAATGAAAGAACAGCAGCAGCGTCTTGTGTAAACAGGCAGCATACCAAGCAGTTTGATAACCTAAAATCAGATATAAAGGAAGTGATGTCATAGAAAAGAAAAACAATCTTCTCTGTTCATGGGAAACTACAGATTAGAGGTTATAGCAACACTTCTGGCAGCAGATTTGCATTGTAAATAGGGAAGGCATGAAAAATGGATGTTATTGTGTCTCCCAATGTAAAACACTCACAATAAGTATATCATGGTGAATTATCTTTATCTGGTTGTAGATGTGAAAAAAGGCCTTCTTTCAAATACATATTCAAAAAACGACTCACCCAATGTTGCGTTTTTTATCTATGTTGTATCATTGTTTATTTATGCAGGGAACTTTTTTTTTTTAAAGGAAGTTCACTAAAGCAACTATAGGTGTCGTATCGTCGTTATAAATATTATTTTCTTTACAAAATGTAATCTAAAGTGATTCCAATATGTTTAATTTTAGGGATAATATCCTGAATTGCAATTTTTTTACTAGAATTATTGTGACACTAAGTGATCATATCTTCCCATTCCTAAAAGTGACACTTAAGAGTTGTAAGGAATTCAGCTGTATCACAATTTATCTTCTTTAAATAATGCATTAACAACAGCTGTGCAGTTAAGTCCATCACGCTGGATGTGAAGACGAGTTAACAACTTCCCTCACACTGCTGTACATCACAGACACTCGTCCTGTGAAGAAGTAGCCAGTTGGTGGATGTCATGGGTAGTTTACATAAACCAGGGGTCCCCAAGAGACACAGAGAGAGAGCTTTGTGTAGGCAACACAGCAGCTGGCCAAACAAATTCTTTAAATATTTTTGAGTCCTTTTATAAGAGTACGGCTAGACCACCGTTGCCAGTGTGTGGAGCCATCAGCTGCCAGGGATTTTCCATGTTCCCCTCAATATATTGCAGTTTTGCTATTTCCCCAGGTGCAAACAGGTCATCTTGCTGTAATGATGCTCAAATCAAGGTAGTGTCATTAAAATCAAGTTACACTAACGCACCACAAACCTTTAAACTTTAAAAAAGGCAAACAAAGCGACTCTTAGAGCTGCTGGGTTCCCTCCTGCCTCTTCCTGCCTGCAGCCTGCTTCAAGTTTTATGTTGCCTAAAGGCTCTAATTGACTGTAATAAAGATGTGAAAAAATACCACGCGTATCTCAAATGAGGAAGCCTGCAGATAGGGTGTGCCTTTTGTGGATAGCTGAATTAGAAGTTTGTTCACCACAATGTAAATCAAGGTCTATTCTAAATGTTGGCCAAGCCCTACACTGTGAGAGTGAACAAGCCTAAACACATCAAAACCATGACACAGAGACAGACATTTATACATAAAGCTCCCATTAAGTGGCTATTAAATTATGTTAGTACTTAACTGTGAATTTATACTGTTTACATTTTCCATATCAGCCAGTTCAAGCTCTTTGTTGAAGCACAATGATGTTTACACAGAGTGAAATATTATAACCCAAATGCCAATATGTTTACTATGGCTGTGTTACATTTAATTAACATATTCTAGATAACTTGTGATGCTACTTTCCTCTATATTTTATCTGACCTATTCGGTTTATTATGAAACTAAATGTGCTTCAGATGTTACAAATAAAGTTTTTTTTTTTACAAAGTTTGGCAGCACAGCTAGAGTTTGTAATGACTGTCCCACCGGCAGGTCACTGAGGTTCCAGGGGTTAAGCCACTTTGTCCTCTCGCGCCGGGCCAATGCTCAGGAATGTGTAGGCAGCAGAAATGTTTCAATGCACAGAAATCACAACACTAACAAATGGGACTGCTCAAAAGATGAAAAACACCTTTATAGAAGATTTAAACAAAAATATATCATTACATTTTCATTTATACCCTAGCAATACTTTTCATTGTTCCTCCCAGACATGTATTCTTTAAAATTATGTGAGTTTCTGTTAAAAGAGGATGTTGCTAATGTATAACTTCTCGGCTGGCCAGTGAAGTCAGGTTTATGGTGTCATGTTGGTTCTCTTTTACACAGAATTGTCACATTCATAAAATACCTGGGACTGACTGTCCATAAAATACAGGCTTATACTAGGAAGAATGTATTCAATTATATAAATTAACTCACAAAATTGCATAACTAGAAATTACAATAATGTTTGAGAGGTTTACTTTCATATTTGAGCTAAAACTACTGGGAAAATAATAATAATAATAATAATAATAATAATAATAATAATAATAATAATAATAATAATAATAATAATAATAATAATGACATAATAAATATGTAAAGACAATCTGAACACAACACAGTATAAATGGAGGTAGATTTACACAATAACGTCAAATTGTACAAATAAGCTTGAGTTAAGTCTGGACATCTTAAGGGTTTAATTGAGGTCAGGTAACGTTATAGGAAACTATATGTAGAAAGGATAAATAAATAAAGATCTGTTGTTTTTCCATCTGCTAACTCAGCTTCAAAAAGCTGCAGGGCCTCAGCTGCAGAGAGTTTCTCAAAAGTTTCCAAAGACGCTTTAGTTGTGAGCATTTCCCAAACATTTTACTCACATAAATTGTTACTTTTCAAAGAAACAATTAGTTCGTTAGCCTTGATAAATAATGCATGTCGTACATGCATGCAAAGAATGTACAAAAAAACGTCTAACTTCATCGCTTTTTGCTCTTACCTTAGTAGCTAGTTAGTTAGCCTAGCATCGTGCCTCATCCATACAAACTGCGCTCCATCGGCTCCCAGTATCCCAGATTTGAGCTGGAAGTTTATCTCCTATTTACACTGAGAAAGGAACTGAGGGGAACAACACGGAGCCCTCAAATGTACGTCTCTCTAAACTAAACGAGTCGATGCATTACAGTAGAAACGATAAAATAAAGTTTTACTCCCTAAACTAAACTTTTGTTGGAGAGGCTACTTCTACAGACCAGAGAAGTAAAGCATAGCTGTGCTGCCTTCAGGTGCCGTCGAAAACACGAGTGAAGCAACAACACACTGTATTTACCATGGTAACCCGCTTTTTCGATAAACAAGGTAGCTTACAAACGGGAATTAAAATCAAGTGACCAAACTACGATAATTTACATCATGAAGAAAGGTCTCAAAACAACTCAATATGGCGAATTAATTATTACTTTAAGGCGTTATTTAAGGTTACTGTCATTGTTTTGTTCATGCACTCTGCCGTTTTGTCCCTTGATTGCTAATATGAATGAATAGCCACAATATACAATAATATTTCGTCGGGACATATTGGTATATTTTTCATTAAGTGGACATTGAAAGGGCTGCAAGTTATACTTACAACTTAAGTCTTGAATTCACCAGCTAAAAAATGTGCTTGTGAACTCCTCATGGGTCATCCTCTGTGGGCGGTTTACCGGCAGTCACCACCTTTTCATAGGAATTTAGACGTCACCCGCATAGGTATGTAGCTGGCATGACTAATTAATCCGGTATAACTAAAAATGGTTGTGTATAACCGAGGAGAACATTATATAATTTGAATGCACTAAAATGGACAATTAAGCATAACAATTGTGCTAATTGCCTGAAAGGGAACACACAAGACAAGGATGTATAACTTGATGTTATGAAGCAATCAATCAAATCTGATTTAGCTAGCCCGATACCACAAATTATAATTATTGAAGATATATATACACGTGGTCCAAATGTGCCTGTATAATGGATGAGGAAAAGTGATTGTATCAGATATCAGATATATAAGTCCGTTTTTCTTTATATCAGTAGCCTACTTTTTTCTTTTGCAAAAACAACAACATGTACACACAACTGTCTCAGTGGTTTTATCTTTTCCCATGCACGTTTCTGTGAATACATCTGAAACCATGGTTCTCTAATTTGTTTCATTGTTTATCTTTAAAGTTATGAAGAATTGTTCTTTGGAAAAGCATAGCATATTATTGAATACACGATTCAACAATAAATTACATGTTTGTCCAGATTGAGACGTTTCAGTACAAACCAAAGCCATGATCCTTTGTTGTTATAAATGTTAAATCCTCAGTTTACATGTCACCAGATATCAATATGTTCACAGGTCACAGGTTCACATGTTCATGTCAATGCCTATTAAGAACACTAGACAACATGAGTTTTCTCAGAAAGCTTATTCTGTACAGATCTAGTAGAGCTCATGTTGAGATGACTTTTTAAGGAACAAGAAACCCACAGTTAATCACATGACCTGAGAGTTGCAGTGTTGAATTGTGTTTGAAGTTCTGCCTTATGGTTAAACTGTGAAATCTTGTTCATTGTACTAAACTACTAGGCACCTTGTATGGCAGCCTCTGCCTCTTTATAGGTGAATGTTGACTTGTATTTGTAAAAGCGTTTAAGGGGGCGCAAAGACTGGAAGTGCCTTCATATTATTACATCAATACACCAACCAGCTCCAGATTAACCTGTATTTTTATATGAAAGCCTACTATTATAGTTTTTAGATCATCATTGTAACATTTGACAGGGATTTAATCTTCCCAGAAACAGCAATCATACTCACTAGACAAGTTGAAGAAAAGTTCACTTTTCAAATTGCATGACTGAAGTTTTGAAAATATGAGTTTTGCAATGAGAGTCTTACAACCACAGAAAAGGAGCAGCGCTGTGAGAACTGAGAGTCTCTCAGACTGCGATCAAGAACTGACTGACAGCTCGCCCACTGTGCCAAGGTCACACCTTTCATTATGTGTGTACCAGACTGGCAGAATAAGTCACTCAGTTCATTAAAGGGTTTCTATTCTGGACTTTGATGCCAGACTATATCTTCTGTAAGAAAAGGAAATAACACATTACACTTCTAACAAATCAAAAGTAGAATTTTTAAGCACGCCGAGGGACATTATAACTTAGATTAATAGATTAAAACCGTTATATTACAGTTGCGGATTGAATTAATCTATAGCTTTAAAAAATGTGTGCCTATTAACATCATTGCACTTTATATCCCATCAATTCAGTGATCTAAAATGTATTTCAACTTGTAAAAAAGGATTTCTCCCAGAAATTAGGATGAAGAATTGGTGATCAAAATCCATCAAAGTAATGGTCATGCGGTAGGGTTTTCTCTCAACTATTTTAAATAAAAAATAAACATCAAAAGGTACATTGTGGCAAATAATTCTTAATTTTCTTATTCCAATTAAAAAACATTGAAAATACAATTTAAAAAAAAATCTAAATTGTCTGATTTGTCGGCCACATTAGAATATATCCTGTTCTGTCGTTTTTTCAAAGTATGCATAAACGGTGTTACAGCAATAAGATACTCAGTGTTCTGATGTTTATCTTGACACATATGAGTTTTTTGTTGAGGGAAAATTCCTGACGCCGTGGCGTGCACCAACCGATTTTTTCACATTTGAAACTACATATAGAAAAACAAGTGGGCACACATGAACATTTGAACTTTCATATACCCGACTCTGGCCTTAACACTCATATGAATACCTTTGATTTACGAGAAGTAACATTTGGCCGTGCCTCAGGGACTCTACTTTGTTGGCAGACGCTAAAAGAAATATTATAACGAGAGATTAATTACTGTACAATGTTTTTTTTTTATTACAATTAGAAACACCAAAACAACACTTTTAATAGCTAATGCTGATACGTATTTTGTCCATTATAACACATGGACATTAGGAAGTTGTATTGCGAATTTCTGCATAATCTGTGAATTATTGCTTTAAAACTTACAATTAATAAAACATTTAAAACAGCATTTTAGAAACATTTCAGTAGGGAACTGCAGAAAAAAATGTACAAGGCTCTGCATGTTATCATTTAAAATAGCAAAAAACAACAGATAGTTTACTTTACAAAGGGAAACAACATGTTATTTCTTATTAGAGAATGTAAGAACAAGCAACTACAACTGAATAGTAATGACAGCATTTATTAAAAAAAATGCTGCCAAGCTCCAAACATGTTTATAACAACATTTATTTAAATTAAAATAACCTGACATTTTTGTTAATTCATTTTAGATTCAATTATAGATATTCTGACTAAACATCATTGTATTGACTTCACATGCCACGGTTTAAAGCTGCAGCTATTTATATGCTGAGGATTGCAGTGAAACTCACATCTTTGTACCGTTTGTTTGAGAGGAATATTTTTTCAGCATTTATTTTTTAATGCAACTTAATACATTCCTGCTTTTGATATATATACAAGATAAGAAAATGCAACTTCAGTTATTCTACATATTTAAAGACTATATTTAAACCTCTTAATTCAAACAATTTCAATCTACTTTTGTTACAAATGGTTTAAGGTTGTTCATAAAACAATAAGATATCAATTACTGACTCCTAAATCTAAACTACTGCATAGTGCACCATAAGCAGATATAAACAGCATATTCCATATTTGTTGTAAATGAGAATACAGAAGATATATGACAAAGCAAAATCACAAAACTGTACTTACTCAAAAAAAATGTATTGCCATGTGTCTGGTTTTACTTTGTATTCAAATATCCCTTGAGAAAAATGTGCACAAAGTCTCTTATCATCACGATGAGCACGACATAAAGCACTTTTCTCCCTTCAAAGTGAAATTATTTAAAATGTCCTCTCCTCCTACTCACACATCTGGAGCCGAGTTCTCCCACCGACTGCCCCACAGCTCTCTGAAGTGTCAACATTGGTGAAAGAGGCTGAAGAGTGGTGGCTCTGCAGGAACTTCTGCTTCCCTGTGAACCTCTTGCACAAGTTCTGGGCACTTCGTCTGAAGTGATTGTCCAGGAAAAAGTAAATGGCCGGATTCACACAGCTGTTGAGGAAGGCCAGGCATCCCGACAAGAGGAGCCCGTTACTCTGCCAAGACTCAGCTTCACAACTCAGGTCAGCTTCGGAGAGCTTCGCGCTGATAATGATGACTTTGAAGATGTTAAAGGGGAGCCAGGACACCACGAAGGCCAATATGATGGAGAGGACCATCTTCAGGGAGTGCCTGTGCCGCGCTTCAGCCCGAGGATTGGCAGCACAGTTCTGATTGAGATACATCATTATGGTGCCATAACAGAGCACGATGATCAACACAGGGATAACAAAAGTGAGTAAAGCCATGGCGAGGCTCAGGCCCAGAAAAATGGGTGAGTTGTTTTCTTCCACGCAGAAGAGTCCATCCCCTGAGGGCTCCACTCTGCGGTACAGAAGAGATGGGATACCCAGCACCAGAGAACTCAGCCACACAGCAGCACATGTCGCCCGGATGCACCTGCTGCTCCTGAGGTACCTCGAGTCCATCAGCTTCACCACCGCCAGGTAGCGGTCCACACTCATGCAGGTAAGGAAGAAGATGTTGGAGACGCGGTTCACAGCTATGATGAAGCTGCTCAGTTTACACAGAAGGTCTCCAGCAGCCCCAAAGTCCCAGTGGCCGCTGCGGCTTGCAGAGATGGCCCACAGAGGCAGAGTGAGGACGAAGACGAGGTCTGCCAGGGCCAGGTTGACAACAAAAGTGTCCACCAGACGCCCACTTTTCCTACCTTTGCTGCCCACCACCGAGATCACAAAGAGGTTGCCCAGGAAGCCTGTGAGGAATATCATGTAATACAGTATGGGCAGGAAGATGTTGGAGCCACTCATGTGTGAGCTGGGACAATCCACCGTGGCATTGACAAGGTCAGTAAAGTTCTCACTGTAATTGTAGTAATCGTAATACTCTGTGAAGGCGTACATGGTGAGAGATCACAGAGAGGCTCTGCAGCTGCTGTTGTGTGGCAGGGTGGTTAGTCTTTGCAACATGCAGCTACTGGGTAAAACCACAGAGAAAAATAGATCCTTTTCAACCCTTACCCCTCTGCCTGTGATAACTTCCTCTTAGTTACATTTCTACATGTGATTGGCTAAAAGGAAGAAATTGCAACCTTTTGTTTTATTTCGTATCAGTTCACAGTTGCAGTGGTTTGACCTGGTTATACTTTCCTGTTGCAATCTAACTTAAATGATAACATATTTACCTACTGTGTGTGTGTGTGTGTGTGTGTGTGTGTGTGTGTGTGTGTGTGTGTGTGTGTGTGTGTGTGTGTGTGTGTGTGTGTGTGTGTGTGTGTGTGTGTGTGTGTGTGTGTGTGTGTCCACCTCAAATGTCATATCTGCCTAATACAGAGGAGGACCAGAGGTGAAATCAGTTTTCTTTTTTTTAAAAAGGTAATTTGTACTATCACAGTTGTTATTTTACTTAAGTTATGCAAATACAAGTAAAAGCCTTTTACTCAAGTAAATGCACAATGTATTTGCATCAAAAAAGAATATCATTTTTATTTTGTTATAATGAAATATCATATTATTGAATAAAACGTATTAATGCATTATGTTCATCACTAAAAGTTGCAGCTGGCAAAAAAGTAGAATCTCTGAATCTGAATCTTCTTAATCTTCTTAAACTGTCAGATACATTTAATGGAGTACAAACTACAACAGCCTCTGAAATGTAATTGTATAGTAGCAAAAGAAGCATAAAATGGAAATACTTATATAAAGTTAAAGTACCATAAAAATGTACTGTTACTGTTTAAGTACGTTTATTTATACTATGAGTGTGAATTACCACAGAAAGTATTTGTCTTCAATCACGGTGTATTGGATGTGTGTAACCAGTAGAGGGCAGGTAAGATTTACTTGTGTTTCCTGTGTGGCGACCTCCTGCCTGCCTGGGTTCAGAAGCAAATGTCACTGATCTTCTGCCCAAGAAATCTTTTGTTTCACTGCGTATTTCCATTTTATTTGTGAAAAGACACTTCCAGTTCAAGCTGTGAATAAGCAGGATGAATCAATGTCAGATAATATATCCGCCTCCTTTTATTCTTTATTCAAATCAGAGTATTTCACACACGTTCAACAAATATTATTTCCCTTTAAAGCCTTATTACCTTACGTTAGTGTTTCCTTTTAAGCTACAGAGAAAGTGCCCTCAACTATTCGTATGTGAGGCCCCTCAAAACTGTAGATCCACATAATGTTATCACTTCATACTGTATTAACGTTACATTCATCATGACCATGTTGTTCTGATTAAAGCTAACATTATATAGTGTCCCTTCAAAAGATATAGACTTTATAAAAGAAGACACAAATTAGACAAACAAGGTTAGTTCAAATCCAATATTCATCAGCAGTCCCTTGGCAGCTCACCTTCAAAACACACAGCTAGAGAAAACATATTACAAAACAACACAGCAAGCAATAACTTTTACTCAAAAACAGAACCAAAGATGACATTTTAAATATGCAGATATCAAATGTAAAATGCTGATCATGGACAAGCAGCTATACTGTCTTATTGAAACGTTTACTTTCAGTTTCTCGATTTGAACTGTTTTGTTTTCACGTTCACTCTGTTACCAACTATGTGTAGAGGCCAGTTTTAGCACTGACTCAGCATAAATGATTGTTTAGAGAAAGTGTGATTGTTGCCAACAATTAGATAGCAAACTGCTTTCTGCTGTGCACAAGTCAAAAGGTGATTCATATATTTCATCTTGTTTGTCTATAGTGTAATATTACCATTGTAATCTTTGTCAGATTATCCAAATAAATGGAAAGAGCCTATAATTTACTGCCATGTTGCTTGAACCTGAAAATGACAAACAAATCAAAGATAATTTTCATGCACAATGGACTATAACCTGGTCTGAAGAAGCAGGCAGTGTCTTTTGATAACATGATCTTACTGATAAAGCTATTGTTTTTAATCAGCTGCCGGGGATGTACTGTCACAACCACACAAACCAAGATGAACCCTGAAACTGCTTGACGAGGCATTGTGCATGAGCAGATAATCTTTACCAAATACTGTACTGGTGCACAGGGTGGCTGTGGCTCAGCATGTCGTTATGTCCCTGGGCATGACACTTCACCCCAAATTGCTCTTGTGGGGATTGCCCACAGTACTGAATGTATGTAAGTCGCTTTAGATAAAAGCATCTAACAAATGACATGTAATGTGTCCGTATGGATGGTATGATTCAACCAGCTGCTCAATGCCTCTATGATTCACCCTGGTGAAAGATAACAGAGAAGGCTTTGGCAGCCATTGTTACAGGGAAGGAAACGGTCATCACGACTACCTCCTCAGGAGATATTAACTCTGTAGTCCAGCTCTCAGCTATTGTGCTGAGGATGTTGGAGGACAGGCCGGAGAACGCCCTATTGTTCTGCAGGAGAGTTTCAGTTAAGAAAGCAAAGTGAATGAAAGACCTCCTTATAGGATCCCTGCTCCACTTTCTGGCATTGTGCGTTATTCAAACACTCTTTGTAGCGTCAAGGTGATGGGTGAATATACTCATCACGGCAGAAAATCCTGTCAGTCCCGCTTTGTTCGGTTTGACGACGTTCTCCCTCATGCTCAGCTGTACCTTTTTCCTTTAAAAAGTTTTAATTATTTCTTCTGCATTCTTGCTGCCCTGTCAGTGGAACACTACATTCCTCTCCTCGAATAAGTGCTGTCTAACTCCAATTGAGTAGAGTAAATGTGAGAGCCAGTGAATGGAGCAGCCTCAATAGGAGAAAATAAACAATTGCATTGGTCCATGGGTGCAGCGGGGGAGAGCGGATGAGAGGAAGGGAGAAAGGCCTCCCTAACGTGCTAAGATTCCCATGGATACTCAGTCCTTTTTCTGTTGAGAGGAGGATCTCGTAAAGTACTTCAACAGTGGATGATTTCTCTTTTCCTTTGACCCTGTTTTTATTTGAGGAGAGAAAGGGTGGTATGCGTCAGGGTGATTGTTAGACATATGGGGGGTCACATGCACACACGTGCGCACTCGTATACACACACACACACGTACAATTTGCCCCTCACTTGTCGAGTGCTAAGTTTAAAAACGGAGTCCATTGTTTGGGTGTGAAAGGTTCTTGTTTTAGCTGTTTAACTGAATCAAAAGTTCCTTCAACACAAAGGATTGCACCCTCAGGCCTCCATTATGTGTCATTTTAAGTGAGGAGGGGCGTTTAACTGTTCCTGTTTTAAAAAAACAAAAAACTTTTAAACCCACTTTCTTTAACCTTCACACAACGGATTTTTCTCTCATTAGAAATCACATGATGGATACATTTTACCAGCACCTAAATGCCTAAAGCACAATATTAAAAAGTTCTATAGGAGTGCAAAGAGCTCAAAAATAAAAAAAATGGTGATGAATTTATCACAGTTTGTCAGTTTGAGCATATAGGCAAAGTCCAATTTGAGGATAGAAATAGCCCAAGCTAGAAAATTGATATCAGTGAGAGAGCATTTTTCAGATTTGAGTTGATAGGTGGTTGATGACCTTTTCAAGATGATATCCAGGCATGGCTTCATTAAGATATTGTTAGGTTTTGGCTACCATTTGACTCAATTGTTCTGGGGACTCACTTAGATTTGTGTTTACTAGTTTTTAACTTGGTGGTTTATGCCTGAATTCAATCATTTGTTCTTCTTTTACTTTGACTTAGCATTACATTGAGATTCTGGACTTATTATCGTTATTTGTATGATCACTGACTGCTTTCGAGTCATGCAGTGGATGCATTGCATTGTGGAATTGATGGCTGACATTTCTTTATTTGTTCTGAAGACAGATAGTGAATGTTGTCTAGAAGGCAACTCCAAAGAAATTGGGGTGAAAATGCTGAATTTAGCTGATGCTTTTAGCTTACATTTTTGTAATGCTGGAAATCACATCTAAGAAAATCAAAACAGGATGCCAGTGTGCAACACATTTCAACTTTGAACATAGCAAGATCATCATAATGAAACTGAGAGCATAAGTGTCTTGTTTTTAGGATAGGTGTGTATGCGGTGAAAGATGCTCAGGCATGTCCCCTTTTTGCCGTTACAGCAACTGTTATACTGCTTCATAAGGTTTCAATTTTTTAAGTATGGTTATTATAAATTAGGAAAAAAAAATGTTTTGCCCACAGTGAAATGTGTGTTCAGTTTTTTGTTATGTTTAATTGTAATGGGACATTTTAAAGCCGGAAACGATATCCTTCCCCCATATCAAAAACAGTATAAAAAACACTGAGTTCCACTGACTACATCTTGAGTAAATACAATTAACAATTAAAATCTAAAATGTGACTCAGATCAACTATCATTTTCAGAATGCTGCTAGTTAAGATTTTAAAATCTTTGGCCCTTTTGTTTTCCATATGATTTAAAATGATCTAATCCTGTTTCTTGCATGCTTATATCACATTTTCTTGTTTTGCTGTTTGAATCTGATGCATTATTTGCTAATTGAACTTTTCGTAAACAAAAACTGAAGGCTTTCAGTCTAAATGTGTCTCTCAGAGTGCAGGTTATCCGTCAGAGCATTTAGTAAACACGGCTTAACTACTCAGCGAGGAGTCATGTTTCATCTGCTGCTGAGAACTTAATGAGCAGCTTTGAGAGAAGACAGGAGAAGCCTGTTGGCCCTGCGGCGGGATCAGGTTTGTGTGGAGGGGAGACTATAATGGCTAAATCATTAAGTAGGGAAATCATTATTGCACTAGCATTGCTGGCAGCTGGTGGCAGGAGCGTGAAAGACCAGGAAACATAAGCTGATACATGGAAGAGGTGGATGATCTGAAAATGCATTTCATTATATGTTTGTGATATGACACTGTCATATATTACGTTTTTAAAGTAGGTTTTTCAAGCTGCAAATTGTGTTATATGGCAGTAATTGCATTCTGCAGCTATTAAAGAGGAACTTTTTGCAGTCGTCTTAAAGTAGGAGTGTGTAGGATTTGGGAGATGTATTT